AAAATATCACGTTGTTATAAAATTTTGTTCCTTTATTTTTTTCTTTTCAAAACAGGATTTTCACGTTTGACTTAAAAATAATTAGATCAAAAGATTATTCGAATCACAGACATCGACATCATTTATCATACTTATTACAAAAATAAATATTACGGGTATAACGACTTGCCGTCTAAAACTAGCCGTGTATAGTTTGTTGGCTTAGATAAAGTCGTTACACCCGGAAGTGCACTTACTATTTCGCTATTATTTTATTATTTTACTGTGTTCGTTAAATAAATGTTTTCTATTCTACGAATACAATAGAATATTATCGTATTTTCCCGGTTATTGTAATAAAATACGAATATAAATAATAAATATAAGTTATGTAGCAAAGAAACTTTCATTACGGCGCTTCGTTTTAAAATGCCAAATTCTTCCGTGGGTGTACGCCACACGCAGCGACCTTTGATGTCTCGGTGGCGCCTTTGACAAGCTGCAGCACGTGCCAAGGCGATGTGACACAAAGGTAAGTTTTCTAAGCGAACAGACTATAGTATGTGATCCAATTAATTTTATTGTAACTTTAATTTTTGCTTGCATTTAACTTTTGCTTGCATCCTAATATTTTTATAAATTAATGGTGGGGCTATGGCGCTGACAGCTGATGCACAGGTCTCCTAGTTTTGCTGCAGATGCTATGTTTTCAGGTATATGTACCAATGTAGCTTTATTTAATGTTAAGCAAATATCTTGGTGTACAATCTCTTGGAAATAAAGAACTTATTATTATTATTGGGGGTCATTGATAGAGTAATCACATCTGATTATATCTGGATAAATATATAAAAGGAAAAAATAACTATAGATAAATATATATTTAATATACTAACATAAATAAATAAATAATACATAAATAAATAAAAGCCCAACCAGATGGAGGCCCTCGGCAGGGGAGACCAAACGGCCGAGGGTTAGGGGGAAAGGGAAAGAAACCGGCGGACGATGCGGGCGGTATCGAGGAGCACCGCCTTTTGCATTTGAGCCCGGAGCGGTCCGTCACGGAGTCCCAGTCGCCTCAGATGACCTAAGAGGCTGTCTGGGATTAGCCCATTCGCAGAGACGACTACAGGAATAATTTCGGCCGACAGACCACCCCACATATCTGTCACCTCGTGAGTCAGGTCCAGATGTTTTGTTCGCTTATCTGTTTCGGCTTTCACGAGGTTCTTGTCATACGGAATGGTAATGTCGACCAAAAATATCCTTGACTGTGCCCGGTCCATCAGCACAATATCAGGCTTATTCGCAAGAATAGTCCTGTCTGTGATGATGGCCCGGTCCCAGTAGTCTGGCGCGGTCATTTTCGAGCACGGCTTCCGGCAAGTACTTGTAATACGGCAATTTCCGGTCCACGAGACCGTATTTCAGAGCGAGCTCCTGATGTAGAATTCTGGCTACTAGGTTGTGTATGTGCAAGTACTCAGAGTTAGAAAGCGCTGAACAACCGGAGATGACATGCCTAAGCGATTCACCGGGATGGCGACAAGCTCGACAGATGTCGATGGCGCCACCCTTTAGGATGTATCTCCGATAGTTGTTGGTCTTAATAACCTGATCCTGTATTGCACAGACAAAACCCTCGGTTTCCCCGAATAGGTCACCGAAAAGTAGCCAGTTGAGGGAGGCGACTGTATCTACGAAGAGCTCATGTAGAGCCGTGTAGAACCCCCCGTGGAGCTCCTTCTCCTTTCATACGGCCTCCCGGTCGAAAATGCTAAGCACTGCTGGGTCTTGCCATTGCTCGTTGGCTAAGTATAGAGGGGTAAGCCCTTTATCACTAGAAATGACGTCATTATAGAATGGATTATTATTATTATTATAGTGGCTTCAAGAAATTCTATCTATCTACTACTCCATATCATCCTCTGAGTGACAGGACTAAAGGTGACAGATGGATACTGAAACAGGAAATAGGCAACAGCATCTTCCAAATACTCGTACAACTCCAAAAAGTGGGAAAACTGCGGATTCCAACCTGCTAACGGTGACCATGGTAAATATTTCTCCCCCAAAGAGTAAACAAGGTTATTTTGCAATAACCGGCCAAACATACAGAGAAAAAAAAATGATCAGGATAAATAATATAGGCAGATGGTGAAGAAAAGTTTATTTAAAATGAATTCAAAAATTCTGTCCATTTTATCTTTTAAATTAAAAACGCGTGCATTTTATCTTTTTAACTGTTTGTCATTCATAAATACTAATATTTTACTGCGCACGCACACATTCGCAAGGGTCGATCGGTCGGCAAAAAGGTTGTGTCTTAAATTGCATAAAGGGGAGCAATAATTAAAAAAAAGTAGAAGCCTTATTCACTACAATTTTCAAAAACTGCAATAACGATATGTCATTATTTATATATTTGAATTTAATACTCGTATCCTCTTTGAATAATAACCCATTATTTATTATTTTGTTGACCCTTAATTATTATTTTGTTTAGAGCTTAGTGTAAGGTTATAAATGTCAATTTCATAAACAAATAAGTACTTAAATAAAGCTGTTCATTTTCAAAATCCACTGTCGTTTATGAGGCCGTGTGGACCGTGCCTACCCCAGGAAGTTGACTTATTAACCCAAAACCAGAATTATTGAAAAGTTGCTATATTATTAACAATTTATTAATTTATTAATGTAATCAAAGTTAACAAAAATTGCACGAAAAACGTTTTTGTTTAGTAAGTAGAGTAAGCAAACATTTAAAAAAAATATCATAATATCAGTTTTTTCAAACAATCGATACGGCTTTCGAAGTGGCAAGTCAACGACAGATGATATAAAGTAACTATTAATTTATTCACAAATTGCGTTACATGAGACTTAGTAACTATACAGAACATTCAGTCCGGTACTAACAATCATGCAGTTCGAAGGGGATAGCAATGAACAGGAAAGGGGCAGACACTTAAAAATTCTTTTCCTCTATGCAATCACTAATTGAATAGTAACTTTTTTAATGAGTATATTTTTAAAGATCTTATGAATTTACTAATATTTGTTTCTTTTAAATTTACTTTTTACGTTAAATTAACTTCGGGTAAGGGCCTGAACTGAGCAGTTTTAATTTAAATATCATTTGCAGAAGGCTAATTTTATAGCGAAGTATGTTTTGTGACGGAGCGCGTCTATGATTTTATTGTAAAAATGTGGGTGCTTTTTACAAACGTACACATTTCTGATATATATATATACAGGGTGTCTCAGAACTCAACGTCAAGCCGAAACAGGGTGACAGGAATGATTGTTACGATCATGAGAAAAATCTGAAAAAATCTATCCCATGCAGTTCGGACATTACGGGCATTTAAGAAAAATCTAGAATTTTGGTGAAACTGTAACCATTTTTCGGTTTTTGTGGTTAATTTTCATTATTTTTGTTCATTTAAACTTTGGAACCGTAACCCTAAATAAGATTTCTAGAACAACAGTCAAAAATAATGACACAACTGCCCCAAGTTTTCTAGAATTAAGACTGTTTGCTAAACTATGAATTTAAAATTTTCAACATTTGTCGACTTTGAAAGGTCCTCCTTTAAAAAAAATGTACTAAAGTGCCTTGGCAAGTGCCATTAAAAGTTTGCGCATTTAATCAGGATTGTAAAATGGTACAATACTTGTTGGTTTTATTCTAAAAAATACAAGTAAATAAATAAAAACCTCGAGTAACCCGATTTTTTGGTAACCCATTTTACTTAGTTCAAATGTTTTTATTGATTTGAGAGATGGATAGTGGAGATGTTTGCCATGAGCGAGCAAGACATATAGTGACGCCAATTTTACAAAAGTCAACAAAAGTAATTAAAATTAACAAAATAATGACCTAGTTTAGTTTAGGTTTATTGGAATAAAAGTCAGATAGGGAAATAACATTTTTTATTACAATAAGTGTTCAAATGGTTTACCATCAGCCTCAATACACGCCCTACATCTTCTTAAAAAAGATCTAGTTATTAGTCGGGCATATCCTCGAGAGTTGATGTTCTCAGCAGCTTGAGAAATTCGTTCACGCAGCTCGGCTACCCTGTCAATGGGCTTTGAATAAACTTTTTCTTTGAGAACGCCCCAATAAAAAAATCCAGGGGATTTAAATCTGGGGAACGGGCTGGCCACGAGATAGTGCCTGAACGTCCAATGCACCTTCCCGGATATTCCTGGTCAACAAAATCTCTTACTTGCACCGCGTAATGCGCTGGGCACCCATCTTGTTGATACCACATGTGGCGACGATCTGCTAGTGGTTCGTCCTCTAACAAAGTTGGTAAATTTTCTCGTAATAAATGTAAGAAATTCGTGCCATTAAAGTTCTCAGGCAGCTCAAAAGGCCCAACAATTTTGCCGTTTAAAATTCCGGTCAACAGGTTTACTTTAAAGCGATACTGGGATCTGTCTTCTCGTATTAAATGTGGATTCGCCACATGCCACTCGTGAAAATTGTGTAAGTTTATGTAACCATCTTTTTTAAATGTAGATTCATCTGACCAGAGAATTTTTTGGATGAATTGGGGATTTTCGTTATGCCTCTGTAGCATTGTTCTACAAAATGAAATCCTTTCAGGATAATCTCGAGGAAGAAGACTTTGAACGCGTTGTACGTGAAACGGATGCATGTCGGCTCTTTGTAAAATACGATGTGATGTGCTTTTGGGTATTCCCGTTCTTTCTTCAATTCCACGAACGGAAATACTTGGATCATCTGCGACCTCTTGCAACACTTCTTCCTCGTAAGGAAAGCGAGCTCTACCTCCAGCCCTTATTTGATTCGGGAAATGGCCGCCCTCCGTAAGTGAACGGTGCACATTAAAACACGCGGTGATCCGGATAGCGCTCTAAAGTTGGATATCTTTCACGATAAAGTCTAGCGGCGGCACTTGCGTTGCATCTGCATTCCCCATAAATGAGGTGCATGTTGGCATATTCTTGTGAAGTGTAGCGCGTAGGCATGGTAGATAACAAGGATGCCAACACAAAAGTGCAATTCCAAAAGAGAGAAGCTAAAGTTGCCCGGTATGTAATCAACAAGTCCAATTCACAATAATCTAAGTCCAAAAAGAGAAGCCAAAAGTGCAATTCCAAAATAGAGAAGCCAAAGTTGCCCGATATGTAATCAACAAGACCAATTCACAATAATCTAAGTCCAAAAAGAGAAGCCAAGTTGTCAGTACTAAATCAACACAAGCGAATACAGAAAGGTGCGCAGTAGACGAATGAGCGAATCGTACTAACTGGTGTCAGACGCATCTCCGTCTCATTGCGTGGCGTCACTATCTGTCTCGGTCGCTCATGGCAATCATGTCTATTATCCATGTCTCTCATCATTTTTCCGTAAAATTAAGAACCTACCAAGAGCTTGTGTGAATAAAAAACATTTGAACTGAGTAAAATGGGTTAGCAAAAATCGGGTTACTCGATGTTTTTATTTTTTAACTAGTTTTTTTTTTAGTATGAAACTAACAAGTATTATACCATTTTACAATGCTGGTTAAATGCGCAAACTTTTAATGGCACTTGCCAACACACTTTAGTATATTTTTTTTAAAGGAGGACCTTTCAAAGTCGACAAATGTAAAAAATTTTAAATTCATAGTTTAACAAATAGTCTTAATTCTAGAAAACTTGGGGCAGTTGTGTCATTATTTTTGACTGTTGTTCTAGAAATGTTATTTAGAGTTACGGTTCCAAAGTTTAAATGAACAAAAATAATGAAAATTAAGCACAAAAACCGAAAAATGGTTACAGTTTCACAAAAATTCTAGATTTTTCTTAAATGCCCATAATTTCCGAACTGCATGGGATAGATTTTTTTTTCTGATTTTTCTCATGATCGTAACAATCATTCCTGTCACCCTGTTTCGGCTTGACGTTGAGTTCTGGGACAACCTGTATATATATATGAATATTTAGATTATGTAATTGAGATTTGCAACTCCCTCTTCTTTGAGTAATACTCACAGTCTTTCTTTGTTTGATATTTGTATATTTTTTGTGAAATAAAAAGTTGGGGTGATTCTACACTGTTACCCCACAGTGTGACACCGTAGCTTAGCCACGCTTGTGCGTAGTCGTGGTAGGCTGATACTGCCGTTTTTAAATTTGAAAGATGAGAAGTATATATATACATATACATATACATATATATATATATATATATATATATATATATATATATATTGAATATTTAGATTTTGAAATTGAGATTTGCAACTCCCTCTTCTTTGAGTAATACTCACAGTCTTTCTTTGTTTGATATTTGTATATTTTTTGTGAAATAAAAAGTTCGGGTGATTCTATACTGTTACCCCACAGTATGACACCGTAGTTTAGCCACGCTTGTGCGTAGTCGTTGTAGGCTGACACTGAGAAGATCTTTTTAGTTCGCTGAAAGCATATAATTGTGATAATTTTAACTTGAATATGTGATTTAAAATTACAGCAAAGAAACATTTTGAACACATTCTAACTTTGTTTTATTATATTATATACAATTTATGTCTAGTTCATTTTTTATCGTGGTCTGGATTGTATTAATTTAGTTTTTTTTTAAATTGACTCTTAAATTATGATCGCTTAGCCACTATTTTACTTTGTTTATAATTATGTCAATTCTTTCATTTAATTGGGTTCCATTGATACAAGGGAATACCTACAACGAAAAATTGGCGGCAAACAATAATAAATGCTCATCAATAACCTTCGGGAGGTCGTTGATGTAAATAATGAAGAGGACACATATGAGTACGGACCCCTGAGAGATAGAATTTTTGAACCTTGATCCAAATTTTCTATTTCAACATACTGTGAACTTTTGCTGAAAAAGCAAGCATTCCACTTATGAGCTTCTCGTACACCACGTATTCCAATGTCATAAAGTGTATTTAAAAGAATGTCATATTTCATGTTTACAAATAAAATGACTATTGCATATATCTGACCGTTTAATGTAATCGAACCTTCATTAAAATATATTTAAATGTATCCAGGGTAGTCAAACGGTTTTTTTCGAAATCAATTTTAGGCGTCGTCATAAATATTGTACATTTCACAAAATCAGTATAATTGTTTGAACATAGCTCTTTCAAAAATTTTGAAATTCCGGGTAAAAGTGCAATGGGTCGGTAGCAAAGATGTTTTATAGGTACAGATACCGTGTTGCTAACACATCGCACCGTTCACAGTGACGCCAGTCTTTGATTCATGTGTGCGTGAGTACCATGTGACGTGCATATCTTACGTACCATGCCTGCATTAGTGTGCGTGACTTCGGTAATAATAGTGCAAATCGATTGCCCAAAAATTTGGGAGATTTTATATTTCATTTATATTGACGTACTTGAGTGTAAAATGTGTGTGCGAGGCGTGTGCATTTGTGTCCGTATGTGAATGGGGATATACACACACAAGTGATATGGGTGGTTATATGTGTTTTATGTAGGTACGAAAATCGCACTAAAATAGTGAAGATAAGTAATAAAAATAAATAGCAGTTAAAAATAAATAAAAATCACAGTAGATATTTATGTATCTAACATATATTGAACTAATCTATTATTATTGAATATATATAGAGTACTACACTTTCGTATCTTAGAACCCAAAATATTGTCGCTTTTTATGAAGACATTAATTATTTTTTAATCTTAAGTAAAATGACGTACAAAAGTAAGTTTGGTTAAGTGTAACCGTAAAAGTTAACTTCGGCCAAGAGATAGCAAATGTTTTTATTAAATTCATATATCGATCCAGTTTATCAAACAACGGTTGCGTATCGGCTGCTTTGGATAAATATCCGTTGTCAATAGTTGCTTTACATCTATTAATGAGATTCAAATATGGAAAAACATTTCATACGGTAGGCAACACTCGAATACTATTGCGCAGTATTATTACTTGCATTGACATTCAGCTTTCGTATTATTTTATCAAGAAATACACCAGAAAATTGTATATTTACTTATGAAAAGTGATGTTCTTATCCTTATCTTTTTTTCAAGAGTAATTTTTACATGATTTCATAGCACAAGCAGTCATTTTGTGAAATTAAAAACACTGGTGTGTGATGTACGTTCGCAGTGAACGTCGCTGACGTAATGGCGGAACGATCGAACGAATACGCCAATATTGGCGCCTTTTAAATGGAAGCGTTTTAGGCGCGCATACACGGTATCTGTACCTATAAAACATCTTTGGTCGGTAGTTATTGCGGTCCGTTTTTTGCATTTTTTATATAATGGCTTATAGTTAACCAAATCTAAGAAATACCTTTTGACGTTTCACATTAATCATTCCACAATAACTTTGCACAAGCGTACTCACACGATTTAAAATAAACGGTTTACGTAAATCCGAAGAATTAACAAGTTATCCATATTTCATTACGTGTATAGTTATTTACCACTAATTTAAATTCGAATCTTTCAAACAAATCAAAAATATTAAAAAATAACCAGTATCAACTTTTTACTTGACGTCGTTTCAATAATATATCGCAATGTACCTTAGTGTTTGGACGATTAAAATTCATTGTTGTGCCAATAATCGGCAATAATATTCAAATAATCGGCTAATATGTTCAAATAATCGAATCATTATTTTTTTAATGTATTATTTGTTTAATTAAATTTTTATTTTTAGAATTCCCTAAATTACATGAATCATGATAAAACAAGTTTTTTTTTACTTTGTCAACGTAAATTTGTGTAGACAAAAGAACTCATATACAAAGCCGCGCTGAAAAAAACCACTACGTAATTTTAATCTCCCGCCATTTCGGGAGTTTACTGTGCGTAACATTGTGATTTTGTGTGTCTTCTTATTTTGTGACTACTTTAACTTTTAGGACTGTTTCTTCTATATTCGTTGAAGTACGTGTCCATGTCACAGAATGATTGTCCAAAAGTGGTTGAAAAACAAAAAAAAAATATTATAGATGACTTTGAAAGAGACATTAATTTTGACTGCATTATTGAAAACCAAATAATTACTAATTTAAATAATGACAGCTCAATTAGTTGTACTGAAAGTAATTGAATAAATTTATTTTTAATCTAGTTTCAATTTTAAATTTTTATAACTGTTCCTCTAGTAATAAGCGGTAACAAAAATACGAAGAAACTGATAAATCTTGAGTTTTAAATTATTCATTTTTAATTTATTCTGGTATTATTCAAACCAAACTGTAAATGATTACCAACTCTAAATAATCGATAACAATTTTTTTAAGAATAAGTTCCCATTTTTTGGTTGGCATGCTTGGTGCAATAAGTCTGCAAGCTTTCAAAATGTATTTCTTAGATTTGGTTGACCATAATAATAGCAATTGTCAGTAGATCAGGGTAACTATATTGCCTAAAGAGAGAGATTGCTGGGAGTAATAAGGATGTTGGTGGTTTTTAGGCCTATCTTATATCTAATCTTAGGTCTGTTTCCATGCATCTGAACGAATTGCATAGTATATATAATATCTATTAAAATTATTTGATTTTCCTTAGGATCTACATCAATCGGTCATCATTTAATGATTTTTGAGCTCGGATTTTATGGTGAGATAAAGGCATCCCACCAAAGATTAAAATCGTGAGATGCGCCCTTATCGTAGTATGACTACTTCGAATTAATGTGTTCATTCTCAATTGAGTGCGCTCACTCATTTTTAGTGTATTATCTATGATCTGTGCTAATTTGTGCACGGTGACAGCCAGATGTTGCACATTGGAGTTATCGCGCTGATTTCACTAAAAAAAAAACTTTCAGAATGCAATCGTGTGCCTTTCGAAAGTGCAATTATAATTCCAAAAAACACAAATAGAGCCCAAGGTGTAACATTTCACACGTAAGTATACATGTTTTATTAAATATTGAATTTATTTTATTCCGATGTAGAAAATACCACGAAATAATAACGGGCAAACCGACACTGTGCGGCAGGAAAAGTAGTATACACGATTTCCGTAAGATAATAAAAGATGACACTATTGTGTCAGTACTCTTTTAATTACCAATTTAGTTAT